TCCAAAATACATTGATTCAACAGTTTCCAATAGCTGGTGCCATGCTTTTTCTGCCCTCATGTCAGCTATATTGAACTAGATCTTTTAAATAATACATCTTCAGATTTAGAAGCAAGGTTAGTTGATTCTACTAAATGTGAGTCTACTTAAGGGACACTATTCTTACGTGTTGTACTGTAAAATGAATTAAAAACACTAAAGTGTTGAAAATAAACTTAACTATGAAAGTATGATGTATAATAGCGATGATAGATATTTAGGATGAATTCACAACAGTATTTAAATTTACTGTTGAGGTAAATTTCTGGTTCTTACCCTGGATGTAGGTGGAGATTGATTTATGGATGGAGTTCTATGGTATGAGTAACATCTGTTACATGTTACACTAAACAACTTGTCTCTTTTGTCTAACAACTCTAGACAGTGTATTCATTAAATACATTTTGTATTGACTGGAGTAGAGCTAAAGCTTGTCTTGATGTTTAGTTCTCTCTCAAATGCCTTGAACTTTGACATGAGCAACTTTAAACTGGGTACCTCAAAGCTTTACCCTCCCCTGGCTCAAGGTTTGGGGAAATACCACTGTTGAATCTGTTGTATGGATTTATTTTGATACATTCATGTGATCTGCTACACTAAGGCATCTCTTCAATGAAAGAAAAGGTGAACATGTGCTGCTTGAAATGATTAGCCACAATGCTAATATCTGAGAATAAGCAGCAGTGGAGACAAGTATAATAAGTATTATTTGGTCTAATTAATGAGCTAATGCATAAAAGCCCTCAAACCAAAAACCATCCCCTGAAAATATAGGTGTTGACGATCTTCACTGTGTCCCTGTGCTTAACTGTGTGGGCATAGTCTGTAACTTCAAAATTTGTTCAGCAGAATCATCCAGGGCCAGATTTGCAAAAGGCACCCGCCTGCAGCCCCCGTTTGTGTGTATATCAGGCTTGGCCCCCATAAGAGTTTGCCACGGTGCTGTGTGCGCACACTTGCAAATCTGACCCTTAATTTTAAATCTTTTTCTGGTGTGCTTTTCTAGTGTTTACTTTATAATTCATCCTAACATGGAAATAACACTTGCTAGAAATGACCCCTTCCTCCTCTTGTGTTTCTCTTTTGTGTCAGAGAAAATGCAATTTGTGTGAATAAAGGGCAAAACAATTAGATTCTTGGTAGAAACAGCCCATTCTTGACCTCTCTTCTTTACTGCTGCCAATGAGAGACAGCATTTTTCTTCCAGTAAAACAGCTCAGGTCATAATTAGTAATGTGCCAGGTATCGGGCTAGTACTTACTCCCTCCTCCCCACCCCCCTACCAGAGTAAATGTCATGCCAAATGTACTGAAATCTGCTAATTTGAGCGTTTTCAAATTAAAGGTAACTTCTGGTAAACTTTCATGGAAAGATTGGGGTACAAGAATAAGGCAAAATGCTAGCAAATAATATCCAGACTTAAAAAACAAACAAACTGTCTCCATCCCAACTGTGACTTCAGCACTCATAAAATTTTGTGCTTTCTTCAAAACACAAAAATTCTTCAAAATTTGGACTTCTACCCTTTCAGGCTTTGGAGGGTGATAAGAGGAGAGGGAAAGGAATCAAATCCCAAGACTTGCTTAGAAAGCAAACATTCCTGAAAAGGCTTCTTACTGTAAGATATTTGCTACAAGAAGGCCAATGAAACATTTCCTACTACTTTAAGTATCAGAGGTGAGAACAAATCTCTCCATTTAGAAGAGAGAAATGTCTGTATGCTGTAGTACTTGTCTTCTACTGTACTAAGTCTCTAATAGGTCTTGATTGGTCAAAACAGTTGGTTAGGTGCTTCAGGAGGCAAGCGTGGCTCCTAATTTGTTTGAACTAAACTTAAATAAACAATCTGATAAAACTTGACTTTGGTTCAGCCAACATTGTTTAAACATGATCTAGACAAAACTAGTCCAAAAAAAGTGAAGTATTCTGTTACCGTAAAACTGTATTAAGCATGGCCTAAATATTAGGTGTGTGTTCTGTATAGTATGTTCCATCTAATATTTATTACTAGTGCTTTAAACTCCAGAGTAAACATCCATTTAAAGTGGAGTCATTGGGCAGATGTTCCTTTTATCAGTATAGGTTGAGATACTCTATATCAGAGGTTTAGAATACAATTTTGCTAACAGGTAAAGAAAACCAATGTAAATATATAAGAATGTTTATTTGTTGCACAACTTTTTTTGGTATAAAAAAATAAATATAGAAATGACCTGTGGACGTCTTGCTGCAATCATTCTTCTACTGCAGTAGTGCAGTTCAAACAAAGAGCTTGAATGAACCCAATCAGAGGCCTTTTTGGACTCAGTCTGAGCCTTAGAAACTGTTTTTAAAGCCAGTACTGTAATCTTGTTTGTAGAAATGTACTCAGTTGTGATTTCTTTTTTCAAAAGAAGATGTATGTTAACAGTAGAAAGTTGAAGCATTGAGTCCCCAGAGATACTAGTGCAGAAAATTCCTGTAGCTTCATGTATTGCTGAATGTTGTGTGCACATGGGTACGTAAAGGTTGAGCACCATTGACTTGAGGATTCACTGTTTACAGTTCTTCAAGCAACATGCAGACATGTTCCGAAGTATGTTACTTTAATCACTTTTGTTAGGCCTAAAGATCTGCTTTAACTCCACTCTGACAATGTCTCAGTATTCTAAACCTGCAATATGTGTTCCCGTTTTTTGTTTAAATTTGAAACGAGCTGTGGAGAACTTAAGCAGGAAATGACTCTCCTTGATGTGCGTCCTTACCATACAAATGAATGTTGAACCCTTACCATCTGTCTTGTTGGAGTGAACAAAGTGTAGCTTTTTCTACTGAAATTGCAAGTCCTGTGCATATTGTAGGGATCTAAGTCCTAGTTTGTAATGCATTAACCATGTCAAATCTGTCTCTGTATCTTGATGTGGCAGCTGTTGGTATGTCATTCTGTCAGTGTTGAAATGGGGAAAGAAAATTAAAGTTTAGAAATTAAGAAGTTTTTAAATGACTTTCAAACACTGGTAATTGGATTAATATGGTATTCAGTAAGGTACTGGATAACATTTGAGTGACTGCTTTTTAACATGGATAAACTTTTTTCTATTCTGAGTTTTAGTTAATTAGGAAATCTGTAAAATGTAAGTAAGTATGCAATGTAAACATGACGTACTCGTAGTCTGGGTTTTCTTTTGGAAACTAAAAGAAAATTGTTCTGAGTTCTGTAGTGAGTGTACCTTTCCATTTTTACTGCTGCATGTGCCAGTTAGAATTGCCCTTGGATTCTAATGTGTTGCTTCAAGAGTTAAGAACACTGCTACCATCTAATAAATAGTGGCAACTATTTCCTTTTCTTTATATATGGGCAGAAATGTAAGTCAGTTAGGTCAGGCGATGAGAAGGAGACATTGCATAAAGGAGAACTATAAGTGATGGTATGCTTAATCATTCTGGTCCGGTGATGGTGTGCAGAAATGGGGACACCCACACAGTTTAATACACATCAGTTACTGTCCAAAATCTAGTAAGCAACCACTGTTCAACATGGATCTGGCAAAGGTGATGCTGCTGTAGCGCTAGACTTAGTCTTTGTGTAAGAAGTTTTTATAACTACCTCCACTATACTAGCTTCGCTGAGACTGGATTGCAGCCAATAAGGTAAGGCCGGTACCCTGAATTTGTTATAAGATAGATGAATCTGCATATCTAACTTCAACAAATCTGTGTACCCCAAAAATATTGAGGGTGCTACAGTATCTATATTTCAACCCAGTGTTAAGTGATAGTGCTCAGGTCAGACTTGGACAAAGTTAACCTATCTACTGAGAATAGTACCATGGTTTGACCTCCAAATGTGAATTAAGCTCCTCCAAGCTGAAAGTCAGGGCTGGATCTCATCCTTGTAGTCCTAGTAGAGAAGTTCATACTTAAAAGAACTGGAGCTGCTATAGGTATATCTATTTATGACTGACTGGAGTGGTAGGGTAGAAGCTACTGTGGTACACTGAAATGACCTATTGTTGTATAGATTTCATACTAACTAGAATTAGCTGTGTACACTTAGAGTAGAGCAGTCCTAATCAATTACAGTACATATTGAGACACCAGAGGATAGAGGGGAAACAGTGATTCCTTCAGAACATAGCTAAGTGGAACCCCATTTTCAGGGATAGGGTATGAAAACACTACAGCAAGGGTCGGCAATGTTTGGCACGCGGCTCGCCAGGGTAAGCACCCTAGCGGGCCGGGCCAGTTTATTTACCTGCTGATGCGGCAGGTTCGGCCGATTGTGGCCCCCACTCGCTGCGGTTCGCTGTCCTGGGCCAATGGGGGCGGTGGGAAGCGGCGTGGGCAAGGGATGTGCTGGCCGTGGCTTCTCGCTGCCCCCTTGGCCCGGGACGGCAAACTGCGGCCAGCCAAACCTGCCGCATCAGCAGGTAAATAAACTGGCCCGGCCCGCTAGGGTGCTTACCCTGGCGAGCCGCGTGCCAAACGTTGCCAACCCCTGCACTACAGTGTTAGAAATCGGGAGCGCTAATGCATGTCTCCCAATCTACCTCTCTCAAATACTTTAGTTATTAAGAATGTTAGGTATCCACTTTACCACCTGCAACCATGCAGCCTATTGATTACTAATTTTCTATGGATATATTTCAATTTCCCTGGTGTTGTGTATTAAATAGAACCCATGGTATGGAAATATTTTTATTTTAGTACTATTTCAAACACTTACATTGCACTAATTCTGTAATATTAGCTTTCAGTAAAATGTAAACATTAAGCAAAATATTATTTAATGAAAACATCTGAGCTTAATACCCACTCATAAATTGTAATGTGAGTGTTGGACGGAGACAATTTGATTCATTGGCAAGCTTCCAGTATCTGTCTCTTAGAACAAATGCAGCTGCCTTTGGTTGTCGTTGACGGGTAAAGATCCCCTTCTTGTTTCCTAAAACACGAGTGGTTGCTGTAGATATAAAAAGTCATAAAATAAAGCAGGTTTTTTACAGAAGAATCACAAAATAAAGCATCTGTGTACAGAGTAAGACACCTCTTCTTTCCCTGCGGTAATCAACGTGACAGGATTAACTCCTCAGCCAAAGGGAAAGAATGTTAGTAGCAACTTTTCACAACCAAGTTATACAGAAGAAACTTAAGTCACCACCTTCCTACATATGGAAGATGAGTATTGTTACACTGGCTTCATTAAAACTGATTTAGCTTAAACTACTACACAGTTACATAGGTTCACAGCTGTCAAATGGCTTTAAGTGTGTCTGTGAATGGGCTGTATCACTTTAATTAAATCAATTTTAATTAAGCTAGTGCTTAATAGTCTATGACCAGTCTCATCTTAAATAGCTTGGGGTTCTATTTCTGCTCTATTTCCACAGTTAAATCTCACTGAAAACTTTACTTTGATACTCAATTAGATTTTCTTCTTTATTCACCCTGCATTCCTTTCCTTTACTGCTCTTCATGCCCTTTTGTCCAATTTACTAGTCATTTGTTCAGTTTTTAATCAAACCAGTCCAAACGACAAATCTTCTCCAAGTGGCCTCCATTCCTCCATGCTGCATGATGTGTATGGAGCCCCAAGCTGCATTGATTTGTCATTGCAAACTTTGTCTAATTTTTTTCCCCACTATTCCTTTTGAATCGGTATCTTTTCCCATACTGCTCCTAATTTTGTTATGCCCATGTCTGTCTGGTCTCTTTAGAGTCTTGTATCTCACATGCTCTTTACTTAAGTCACTGAAGCTAGCACCAGTGGAACAGATTCCTACAGTATTCCACTAAATACACTGCTCACCATCTCTCAGGCCTGGTCTACACTGGAGGAGAACTGATCTAAGTTATGCAACTTCAGCTCTGTGAATAATGTAGCTGAAGTCGATGATGTACTTAGATCTACTTACTGTGCTGTCTTCATTGTGGTAAGTGGATGGCTGACGCTCTCCCATCGACTCCGCCTACTCCTCTCGTCCTGGTGGAGTACCGAAATGGATGGGAGAGTGCTCGGTGGTCCATTTAGCGTGTCTAGACTAGACATGATAAATCAACCACCCTCCACACCCCCGCTGGATCGATCACTGCCCATCGATCCAGCGGTAATGTAGACAAGCCCTCAGTCACAATTGTAACTCCACCAGATTCTCTGTACTGTGGCTTAAGCTTGGCCCTGGGAACATACAAGACTCATCATTCACCTGTGGTGGAGACAGTAGCATACACGATCAACCATTTTTCCAATCATGGCATCTAGCCCTGCTGTACATAGCCTCTGTGGCTACAACTGGAGGAGCTGCCTGCAGACTGATTAATGCGGTTTGCCAGTGTAGGTGCGGCGGTAGTGATAGGAGTTACTTGTGAAACACCTAAGCAGAATTTAGAAAGTAAAAAAGGATAGTTGAGGCTGAGCATTTTGGAGGACGGGGAAGAGGAGAGGTGGGAAAGAGTAGTGCGTGGTGGGTCCCTCTACAACCTTCACTTGCATTCTCTCATAGTGCACCATCTCCACAAACTGGTGATGAAGGTGCTCCTACAGCTCTTCCCTTAGTGTGTGAGGCACTTCATAACACAACCTAGACACAGGAGAGACCATTCAGCATAGGAAATGCTGCTTTGCAATTAGGTCCTAGCCAGATACTTGACTTTTTTTCCCCTGCCTTACTGCAAGAGTTAGACATGAGCCAGCATGTTTGGAACACAACCCATTTCTAGAGAAACAGCAAAAATAGAATAATTCCATGTCTTACTAAGTCATCATTTTAATGAACTTTGCCCTAGTTTAAAGCATCAGAGCCAATTGGCCTAACTTCTAACTACATTTCCATGAGTAGCTGTAATGGAAGAGTAGAGCTCAACATCCAACTTTGTGACGAGGTCGTGCTCTCAGTCCTAAATCAACTAACATCGAACAGTGCTGACACCGATGAAATAAAGGGACCAAGCTGTGGGAGTTGGCTCCAAAGGATGTTTCTGAAGTGCTTCGTGAAAAGCATGAAGTCTTCTCCATGCCCCATAAGGGAGTTTTGAACAGCGGCCAAAAGGACAGACTTCTTGATTATTACAGTAAGCAGAAATGCTTGACTGTTTGCATTTTAAGAACACAGCAAACTGTAAAAGTCAGTGATCTCTTACACCTACAGTCTGGCTAGAGTACAGCTTTAGCCGCAGTGTTTGTGTATGACTTGGGGGAGGGAGAGTTCTCTTTTGTAGTGTAGCTCTGACCTTCCCCAGATGCCTAAAAGACTTGAGCAGTTTGTTCAGTGTACACTGAACAATGGTACTATTTTTATAACAAGATAGGACTAGGCTGCCATTGGTCTGCTAATGGTGCTCATGTCTTCTTCACCATTCCCTGGGGAGAGCACTTTGTCCCGAGTTGGCAGAGAAAATGAAGGTTTTGGGACAGATGGTTGAGCCAACAGCCTAATGCTATAGCACATGCTTCATTCTCCCCCCCCACAAAAAAAGGTGTTTATGTGGCGGAAAGTGACAAGGGAACTTTTAAATAAAGGTGATGCTGCATTTAACAATCTTCAGTGCCACATATACTAACTAGTTTTTCTAGAACACATGCTTATACTTAAATCTTGTACCCTCAATTCTGTAACATGAAAGCCATGATGTCAGGGGAGAAAATATGTATCTTTACATTGCAGCTTAAATATAGAATGGAGTCTCAGCCTACCTTGATCTGTCATAAAATCAGCAAAGTTCCAGATGAGCTCCCCAATCACATACTCCTTTCTCTTTTTGTCAAATACTGAATGGTATTCCTTTAGCACAGCCTTTTGGTATTCCTCGCTGAACATAAGAGGTGGGTCCTGTAACCAAAGAAGGGAGAGAAGACTCAAACATAGGACATAGCAGGTGTCAGCAAAGGCTTTCAAGTGACTTTTCATATGAAAAGAGTTGTACAATTATTCATTCGCTTCCTCCACCACTGAATTATAGCCATATCGATGGAATGTGGTGGCTATTTAGCAGAGGTTAGAAGTACCAAAGGAGGGTATCTAATTGAAACTGCCAGGGGAAGTTTAGATAGTGTTGAATTCTTCTACCTATGTTGGCAGCTCCTTTTTGATTCATAGGGAAGAAACTAGCAACATTTTTTTTGATTGATCAACTTCTGAATGTACTTCCTGGCAACGGCTTTTAAAGTGCTACATCTAAATGGTTTCTCTGAAGCTACACAATCTCATCGCCCTATAATGAATTGACTTTTCTCCCCAGCATTGTATCTTCCTGTCTGTTGAATATTCTCCACAACTGCCAAAGCACAGAGAATATTCCAAGATGCAGGAGGTTTGACCGCAAAAGTGTAAATCAGTGTTAACTGTAGCCTAACTGTCAATGATTCAGCTTAAAAGGAAAACTGCAACATCGCATAAGAGCCAGTTAATGATTTACACTTTGTAAACCAGTTTCTCTGGCAGTGTTTTAAATAAGGAAAAAAGAAGGACCAACTCCCCCAATCAGAATGTTAAAAGTTTGACAGGTTTTCAAAGGGGCAAAAAAATTATTATAGGAGGCCAGTGACTCAGAGATTATGGAAATGTATTAGTGGCTTACAGCATACGCCAGTGCTTTTACTTAAAGTACTCATCTCCTTTGGTGCTATCTTAGCCCCAATGAAATCAAGAGCAAAACTCACTGACTTCAATGGCGCCCCGTGTTTCAACAGTAGAGTCCAGTATAATGTGCATGGCAGCTGAGGAGTAGATTTCACATGGTGTCTAGCATGTCTCAGAATTAAGGGGTCAGTAAATGTCATGGGTTGGTTGGTTGTGACGGAACCTCCCTCCTTGACCAGCACTGTTTCTCCCAAAGTGGCACAGCTACGAAACTCACATTGTGAAGCCCAGCAATAGTATCTGCTCCATATTCGCTCTGGATAATTGGCTTTTGGTAGGCTTTATACCAGTTCTCAAACTGTGTATTGAGTTGCAGCTGAATAACCTCCAGATGGCCGGCGTCATGGTACCAGGAGAAGTAGCTATTTACGCAAATTACATCCACATATGGAGCCTAGAGAAATAATGTAGAGTAATATTTGTAACAAACCCCAAAGTAACCTACTACATATGTTCCCATGGCTACATCCCTCTCTGCTGTAGTTCCACTGACCTCAGTTGCTACACTTAGGATCAATTTGGCCCACAGGATTTTAACACAAAAATGAGACCACCCACCCGCCCTATTCCCAGAAAAAACAGGAGGAAACTCACCAAGTCAAACAGTTTTCCCCATCAACCTATGTTAATTTTGGCATTTTCTTACAGATTTAGGTAGGCAAAGTAGCCAATTAAACAAGATTAACTGTTTCATCCCTAGGTTTGTTGGTCTTTTTGGAAATTCCAAGATGAGTCTTGGATCTGTTTATGCATTTAAACATCCTCTTTAACTTATTAAATAACACAGTGATCAATTTAGTGGTCAATTACTTTGAGTAGTGACTAAGTTCATGCATCAGTGGTGTAATTTAGGACGAAGCATTCTGCGAGTTATATGCCATTTCTACCACCTGGACAGTATGACAAAGGGCACTAACCCATTGAAGATAAAGTGATGTTATATGTAACTTATCCAATGTTCTCTTAACATGTTTTGTAATAAAGTTCTGAAATCAGAATTTACAGTGTATAAGTTCTTCAAATCTCTTCTGTGTCTCCCTGAGCTGTCGGAGAAAGCATGTTCCACTGGAGCATGATGGGGTGCATGCAACTAGCAATAGATGGGACATTGGGGTAATCGACAGCAGTGCCCTCTTTGCTATGTGTAAAATGGAAACAAACCCCAGTGGTTTTGATCCTGCGCCAATGGAAGAAAAGTCATAGCTTTCCAAAAGGCTACACATGCTAGCTCTAGGACAGCCCAGTTGAGAGAGGAAAGGCTAGCTTACTTTGAAAGGAAAATGAAATGGGATTTCTCGCAGGTACTTGTGAAAGTTGTTTATATATACACGCATCATATGTAGCCAGACAAACTCATCGTCTAAAAATAGACTTGTTTCCAAGACCTGGTATGCTGAAAACATCACAAAGCCTTTTACGTTGTCTTTGATTTCCAAGGAAATTCTAGAGGGAGACCAGTTTTCACACACTAGCACTTAAAGCAAGGCCCTCAATTCTGCATGTAGGGCCTCTATAGCAGGACTAAGCCAGCAAAGGCTTTCATGGGCCAGTGTCTGAGCCCCGTTTCAGAATTTCAGGTATACCTCCACACCAAAAGCCCCCTGTGGCAGCGAGTCTCAGGGTCCATGTCAGCTGACTCAGTCTCGCGCTACGGAGCTAAAAGTAGCAGTGCAGATATTTGGGCTTGGGCTGGAGCCCTGTCTTTGAGACCCTCCTCATGCGCTGGGTTTCAGAGCTCCAAACTCGACTGGCTAGACTGCTATGTTTAGCTCCACAGTGCAAGCCCAGTTGACCTGTTATGGGTCTTTTTTTCCCGGGTAGACATACCCTCAGACTAGAGGCTCAAGCCAGGCATGGGGGGTGGTTAGACTATGGAAAGCTAATAGGCATCTGCCCAAGAAGAGCAAGAGACATTTACAATGAGTGGAGACAAACATTCATTACTATGCTTGGGGCCTGTTCCCATTTGAAGAGGTTTTATTCTCTGCTTTAAGAAACTGCCTATTGCAAGTGAGAGGCTCAGGGGCTAATAGGTACAATAAGGAGTGAAACAACAGAACATCCACAATAGGGTTATACAGTTACACAATGGGTCTGATCCTGCACACCATTATAGAGAAGGGACCGTTCTAGTCATTCTACTGGACTCAGTTTTGCCTGAGTAATGACGGCAGGATCAGGCGCTGTGAATTTTGCTTCTCCATGCAACTCAAACGTTCTCTCCTCCAAAAATCTTCAATAGAATGGGGGCAGGAGGGAAGAAGAGGGTTATTTAACATTCCTAAAATCTACCCAGTTTTATTAAGCAAACAAAGGAGAAAAGAAATTAAACTTACACCGTGATCACGAGCGTAATTAGCATTTGACACAAAGGTTACGGGTCGGGTAGGATCAATGGCTTTAGTGTGAGCTATCACTGTCCTGTTTACAAACAGTAAAACACAAGTGTCCATCACCAAAAAGGAGAAACAGCCCCACAAAAATCAGCAAACTCCCCCACGTGCCCAACCTTTGGAGCCGGCGTTTAGTTTCACAGGCAGGAGTTTTGAAAGTGAAATAGTGCGGGTCTTGGATGGTGTTTATGCCCCGCAAAGTGTGTGTAATTCTAGCTAAGAATAATACGTGTTAAGAGCTCACAGGGCCAGGAGACTGTTTTGTCTGGGTGAAACACACCCATTGCACAAATCACTGGAGAGGTGTCCGTCCCCATAAGACATCATAAGCATAACTTTAAAAGAGCGTGAGAGAGAAAGGGGTAGGGGGCAGTGTCTTTGCAGCCTTCAAGATAAGGTGCTGTGGCCTGCCCCAGCAAGAACAAATGAGTGGTACTGCTCTAATCATCACAGCTTCTTCAGTATGCAGGCCCAAGCTCTATGCTGGCCTAACTCCACTGAAGTCCATAGAGTTAAGCCAGCAGAGAATTTGGATCCTGTTTTTTCTGTAGATAGGAATGACCAAACCCTCCACCAATTCTGCCTTACCTGAACCGTAGGGCAGGTTTTCACTACCCGCCGGATCGGCGGGTAGCGATCGATCTATCGGGGGTTGATTTATCGTGTCTAGTGTAGACGTGATAAAATCGATCCCCGATCGTGCTCCCCGTCGACTCCAGAACTCCAGCTCGTGAGAGGTGGTAGTGGAGTCGACGGGGGAGCGGCAGTGGTCGACTCGCCGCCGTCCTCATGGCCAGGTAAGTCAACCTAAGATATGCCGACTTCAGCTATGCTATTCACGTAGCTGAAGTTGCGTATCTTAGGTCGACCCCCCTGCTAGTGTAGACCTGGGCTTAGTCTTGAAGGAATATCTCATTCCAAGAGATCTCCTGCTGGCTCTTCAGAGTTCAGCTCAGAGAAATAACTGGTTAGGGTGCTGCTGCGGGGCATTAAACCCAATATGCAAAACAGTAGGTGCGTTGGGAAATATGTAGTAAGTACATAGAACGTGTATACAAAGAAACTCTAAAATAGATTAAGGGATCCCTGAACACCTGCCAGACTTCCCCATGCAACTCCTTTTTCTGACCTGAAAAATGAGGCGGCACATCCATCAAACTGAGTCTCAACATCCCCGCACAAGAACACACACTTACTTAAAGTAGTTAGCTGCCGGCGATAGCTCTGAGGCTGGCTCATTGGCTACAGACCACATCACAACCGATGGCCGGTTCTTATCCCTGCGGATCAGCTCTTCCATCACCACGAGATGGTGTGCCAGTGATTTGTTCCCAAAGTTCTCCCTCAAAGACAAAAGGAAGCAAGAGCAGGTCACTAAAATGCTAAATAAAACTCACCTGAAATCCATTATTGATACTAACAATGTAACGAATTGGTCTTGGAGCACAGGGACCAAAATTAATCCCCGGTGCAAATCTGACCACACCAGATGGCCCTGTATCTCTGGATGGGGATAACTATTTGCAGAACAGCAGCTAGCCCCTTAGATATTCTAGCAAAATATGTTTTACTTCACGCACCCCTTGAATTTGGAACCTGCTTCCTCTTCTCAGGAGCCAAACCACCGCCTCTTCCTCTTTCAACTTCCAGCTTAAAATACGTACTCCTAGGCAGCCTTTCAGAGACTTCTACAGCACTGGCAAGATTTCACCCTCACCCAGCGCAGCTTGTGTGTCTGAAGTAAAGAGGACCCCAGACAAGAGCCTTTGAGCCAAACCTCCCCTCACCCACCCAAACATTGGTGGTCTGGTTTAAATGGGCTCCAGGACCAAGCTACCGCTGATTTGGGGTTTGGAAAAAGAAAACAAGGCCAATGAGGCTCAGATGAACTAGGTTCTCTTTCTACTCAAAGCCACCATGTTGGTAGCTCCAGTTACAGCTCGATGCCCTCTGCCTCCCTCCCCGATGGGGATAAGGCGCCGCTCGCCCTTGCGGGATAGCTGGGATACAAGTATGCAACTGCCCTGCTCTAACCCACGGCTGCAGCATAGTTTGGGAATGCAGGTTGGGCCCATCTCCGTTGCAAGACTGAACAGTATGTTAACGATGTTGAGGAACGGCACAGCTCTAGCCTGCTCCGTCACACCAGCGCGTGTAGACAGGCCTGAACTTGTCACAGGCTGATTTGTAAGTGGTGTCGAGTCCCTGCACATTAAGCTGAGGTCAACAGGAGCTGCAGATGCTCGGCACACCTGAAAAGCCATTTCCCCAGGCAGGGGCTGTGCTGAGTACCCACCACAGCCGGGGCTCTGTAGAGAATCGTTTTTGAGCAGGGAGAAATACAAAGGGTGCAGTGAGCTTTCAAACAATCTCTTACGGATCTTTCATCCCCACGCCCGGACACTCGTCAATAACCACAATGCCATATGCATCGCACAGGTCCATGATCTCCTCTGCATAGGGGTAGTGGCTAGTGCGGAAGGAATTGGCCCCGAGCCACTGCAGCAAGTTGAAGTCCTTCACGATCAGGGACCAGTCCAGTCCTTTGCCACGGATCTGGGGGGGAAGCAGGCAGGACAATCCAGGATGAATAAGAACTCGATGATACTTTGCACTGCCCTTGCACCATCCAGCGAAGGATCTCAAAGCGCTTCACAGTCGCTTCCCTAAGCTTGACAGCACTGCTGTGTGTTACACCCGGGGAGCCCTGGCTTCAGGCTAAACATGTTACTACATCTCCCTCTCTCAGCCTGAACCGGCTGGGCACCATCTGCTCTCCACTCACTTTCACAAGGCAGAGGGACACGCTCAGGCTTGCCTAGCTTCTGTCCTGAGTGGACAGCGTGGGAGCCTTTCTGCTTCAAACGCTATAATATCTGTCTGTCTTTGCGAGTTTTAAAAGACTCCTACAGAGCTGAAAACTGAATGTTTATGCAGAAGAGCTTTGGAGGGGAGAGGGGCAGAAGGCTCACCAAGGCTGGAAAAATCATTAGCCACTGGAAACCGGGTTTGCTGTTTCCACGGTACCAGCTGAGGTGTTGTGCAGAGGCAGTGGGTTTCGCAGCTGTGTATCCTCAAACTAAAGTGTGTGCCTCAGTTGCCCACCTGTAAAATGGGGATACTACTACTTCCCGCCCTTTGTTGGGCTTATCAATTTGGGATTGTAAGCTCTCTAGGATGAAGAACATCTCTCAATAGGCATATGCACAGTGTCTAGCACAACAGGGCTCGGATCTCAGTTGGGGCCGCTATGGGTCAAAATGGTCTGGTGCCCCATGAATGTCTCTGTATAAACCTCACAATGTTACTGCCAACGGCATATGTGCATCGGGGGGAGGGGATGCTAGGCAACGGACCCCTTCTGGGGGTGGGGCCAGAAGTGATGTTTCTGGAGCAGATTCTGATGGAGTCGCAGAGAGCGGCCTCCCACGCCTCACCCCGCTCTGTGCTCTTACATCGGCATCTTCGTGTTTGTTGACTCCATGGAAGTAGAAGGGTTTTCCATTGATGAGGAACTGACTGCTGGTGACATGCACGGTGCGGATCCCGACGGGGAGCGTGTACACATCTTCCGACAGCTCACCGCCCACCTGCGCCGACAGCTTCACCTGGATCCCCAACACAAACCAGCCTCCGCGTTCAACCCTGACCGCACTGAGGAGAATACGCTCAGTTCTGTCTCCCTCCCAGCCAATGCTTCCCTCTCCCTGACCCCGCGAAGGCAGCCCAACCCAGCCACGCGCTCCCCATCCATTTTACAGCTGCGCCAACCCCACCTCTGAGCGGTCCTACGCTGGCTGGTTCTTCCACATTCCCAGTCTTCCCCCCTGATGGCACCCACCTCCCCTCCTGGCCTCAGGGAAGGATCAACCATGGAAAGTGGGTCACAGCAGGAGCCCAGGCTGGGGAAGGTAGAGAGTAGAGGAGGAGGAAGGGAGGCAGGCAGGCTGGCTTGGGACTTGCTTCTCCCAAGAGCTCTGACCTGACATCCAACCCCAACAGCCAGAACCCTCCATCTTTGCTGGCTTGGTACCATAGTGCTCGTCTTCCAGTGACCGAGCCCAAGACTGGAATTTAGCCGGCTCACAGGCAACATGCACCTGGGGCTTTGCAAACTGACTGTGGGTTAGTGGATCTACTCTCTAAACCCTACATCACAGTTAAATCCCCACTCAGGCAGAGGAGATAAAGACAGCCATGTAGGACATCTAATCCTCCAAGACTGCAAGCTGAAAACAAAGCTGAATGCCTGTATTGTACTAAGGGGGAAAGAGCTCACTGCAGTTGTTAAATGTGTGCAGCAGGTTAGCAGTTTGCTCCAGATGGATCATTTATCTCCTCTCTCACTCCCTGGGCCATCTCCCTCTCTTTCTTTGTCGAGTTCTGATCCAGATCTTGCTAAAGTCCATGGAAAGACTCCCCTTGACTTCAGTAAGGGATG